TCAGCACCCTCCTGGACAAAAACGAAAGAAAAAAGAAGAAATTATCCGAATTGAGACTTGAGCTGAGATCGGAAAAATCCCGCGCACAGGAGCTGACGCTGAAGCAACGTCAACATCAAGAGGCGATTGATCGATTGGAAGGCGAGATAATGCGACAGAAAAGAGACATGGAAAAGCTTCGCGCGGAAAAGGAGCAAGTTGAACAGCAGTTGGAACAAGCGAATAAACCAAGGGAAAAGCTGTCAAGTGATGAAAGACAGCGAGAGAAAGAACGTCATAGGCCATCTTAAGAACCCGCGGTTAAATCCCAAGGGAGCGACAAACCAGGGGAAAAACTGTCAAGTGACGAAAGACAGCGTGAGAAAGAACATCACAGGCTGTCTCAGGGACTGCGGCTAAGGCTCAAAGGACGGACAGACCAGAGACTTCGAAAGCCTGGGAGGAAAGACTTGAAAGGGACATTATCGAAATGGAAAGAGTTTTGCAGGATTTCCCTCATTGGAAAATTGTACAAGTAACCCTTGGCGTTCAGAGAATCAAGTGCGCCTTCTGTGATGAAACAAGTCAGCATTTCTCTGACTCCTGTCCCAAATGTGTGGAGGGGGACGAAAGATTGGAGATTATTCGACGGAAGGAACTTTGCCGCTTTTGCTTAGAATACTGCCCACCACAAAAAGAGTGCCTCTACGCAAGAAGAGAATGCTGGTACTGCAAGCGCCTAAATGGATCTATTTCGAAGACCTCATCCCACGCGACAGCGCACACCATAGCGTCCTTTGTAACGTCCCAGACATGAAGGCACGAGCGAAGCGAAGAATCCTTGACGTCAGAAGAGCACTGAAAGAAGGCCGTAGGACTACACATTAGCTGCGCTGGGAGCATAGGTGCGATAGGGAGAGCCGGGTCCTCTCCAGGTGAAGGGGGCTCTGCTACTCCCATCCTTGTAAGTTGAAGGGGGTAAGTGAGCCCTGAAAGCAAAATGCCCCAACAAGTTACATACCTTCCGAAAGCTGAGGTCATATAGAATCGACATAGACCGTCAGCTTTTTTCTAGGTCTTTTGTGCCGCGAGATGTGGGGGATTTTACATACTTCATGTGTCAACTAATTTCGTGTCCTCACTTTCTGCTCTCCAAGAGAATGCTACGAGAAAGTCGACGGTCTACGTTTGCTAATGAAGACTCGCTCTGTAACGCAATAGATAACCAGCAGTGATTAGGTCTTCGTTTCGCAGAAATTGCTGTTGAAAATAAACATGATTTCAGATAAAATGCAGTGTATCTCTCGGTAAAGGGCGGCTAGAAAGAATTCGACGGTCTACGTCGAGTCCCTTTTCGTGAGCTTTCGAATGGTATATAGACTGCTGAGCGAAAAAATTTGCAATGTTTAAAAATGGTGTGGAGGTATTTACTATTAGCTTGCTCCACTCAGCTCCCCCAATGTATTGGCTTTTCCGGTCACCAGAGCAAGTGCTTTTTAGAGCCAGGAAGCAAAAAAGCCCTAACATGCTTCACACCGTTCGAAAGCTGGGATTATGGAGAATCGACGTAGACTGTCTCTTTGTTCATAGCTTCTTTGTAGGGCGAGATACGAGCAATTTTATACGCCTACTCACCAGCTAATTTTGTGTAATTATTTTGTAATTTATTTTTGAAAGAAAGAACAAAGATGAGAAAAAAGAGACGGTCTACGTTTACTGGCAAGGTCTTGCTCTGTGATGCTGTTAGAAAAAGGCACCTTTATCCATTCTTCACGCAGAAATTTCTCGACAGAAACACACATCTTTTTGGCTAAAATCCCGTGTAACTCTAAGTAGAGGGGAGCTAGAGAAAAAGAGATGGTCTACGTCGAATCCTTTTTTGTGGGCTTTCTAATGGTATACAGGTTGTCGGGTGAAAAAACTTGTGGTTTCTCAAAAATGAGGTGGAGATATTCAATAGTAACTTGCTCCACCCCGCTCCGGCTTTCTATGGGTTGCCGGAGCAAGAGTTTTTTGGACTGGGAAAGCTTTGTGCACCAACACCTTATATACCGTTTGATAGCTAAGAACACGAGGAATCGAAGTAGACCGTCTCTTTTTTCGTAGCTTCTCTGTGAAGCGAGATACGACCAGTTTTATCTAGCTACAATATCAGCCAATTTTGGATAATTATATTTTGAAACCAAGAAGGTGTTTTTTGAATTTTTATATATGAATCGAAAGCATGAAAAACGAGTAATCTAACTGTTGTTTTGCTTGTTATTATTCTCTCTAGTGAAAAGAGATATGGTATGATTTCTTGTCAGTAAATATGCATCCATCGCTGATCGGTTCAGATTTTTCTACTCTTGCTCAACTCTTTTTTGCAAAGTATGTATTCATTGACACAATATTAATTATACAAAAAATCACCTTTTCCTTTTTGATTACGTTTCATTATCAACGCCCTTTGAGCGCGCAGAAGGTCTCATGCATGCGTTTTTTAACGAAACGTTGTTGATTCGATATTCTCTTGCGGTCTTGATGTCTGAGGAGAAGAGCAGCTGGCGTTTCCTTTTCAAACAAAAAGTTCCGTTGTAATAGCTGTTTGCCTTGATTAGTCTCAACCGCAAGTGAAAGGGGTCAGCCAGATGCCGGCCCTAAAGTGAAGGGGGTCAGAGAAATTTCTCCACCTATCGCATCTATGGCTGGGAGTGTCGTCAACGACGACCAAGTGATCCATAATCAATGTATATAATTAGATATTGCCGATTGTTTAACCAATGTATCAAGTATTTGTTCATGTATTTGAATTAAATTGAATGAATTGAATTGTACATTTCTCAAGTATGCGTTGTTTTGCTTTTGTAACGTTTATCATATCATCTATGTTTCTTTTCGCGTGAAATATATTTTGAGATTCACTTTTATCTGATATTTTTCTGTATAAATAGAGCTCAAACTACCTAAGATCATGCTTCCTCAAGTGACAAGTTCCGCAAGAACCTCAAGCTCAAGTTCAAGTTCAAATTCAAGTCTTTCACAGAAGGAAGAAGAAGAACTCGGAGTGTGAGCAGGAAAAAGAAGAACGTCGGAGTGAGAGCAAAAAGACAGAAGATTGTATGTAAAGATTTGAACAATAAACCTAATCGTGAGCCCGTTTCCAACCACAGCTTATAGTCCCGCGTGGAAAACGAGCAAGTAAAACGCAAGTCTTAGCCTAGGCGAAGAAAAAAGAAACACTCTTTTCTACAGTAACTATTCGAAAATCGCGTTTTCATATGTCAAATTTATAGCCGCGTAAACTTTCCTACAAAGCGCTTTCTCACTTTGGTAGAATCCTAAGAAACTAAAAGACCTTTATAGATCCATATATAGCAACCCTATTAGCCCTCTCGCACTCTCTGAAAATACGGCATCAACATCAAAGGCGCAAAAAGCGAAAAGGCTTTCCAAATCACTTAATGATGTACTAGTGTGAACGCCGAAAACCTGGATAATGGTTTATGCGCACTGATCATGGGGTCCATGTTCAAGTTTTTGGAGTTTGTTTCGGTCCATGTTCAAGTTTTTGGAGTTTGTTTCAAGCTTTTTTATTCACTCTGCCGCAGTAGTGTGATGGCTATCATTGTTTTGCATCAACCTGACACTGGAATGCTTTCAGCACATCAGTTCTCAGGAAGCGTGATCAAAGATTATCTTATTACTAGAACTTTATGGAAAAAGATTGAGGCCCGTATGTATAAAAGTCCATAAAGCAAGGAAATCGGTGGTTTAAATTCTGTCTTAGGCTTGAGATATACCTGACGATAGAGGTATAGCGGGTGCTGGCGAATCGCTGATGTCTGCGCTGCCTTTAGCTGCTCGTGGCTGCTGCGCTGGGTACGCTTTGGGTGCAAGAACGAGTAGCTTTACCCATTACTACGCTTAGCTTAGCCCATTAGGAAAGTAAGTTTTGAGAATAATCAAAAACTGAAGAATATGATTACATGTTCCAAAATCATCCTGTTCTCATCAACAAATCTTTCTAAGAAGCATACAGTTGCAAACCAAATGTTGCATTAGTACTGAGAAAATAATCATTACCATTATTTAAGCGGTATCGCAATAGAATCTTGATTTGTGCTTGAGGCAAAAACCGAACGACCTAGATCATAGCTGCCATTAATGTATTGAGGTGTACTGGTAACATCCCACCAAATCGTAAATTTTCTAATTTTTTGTTAATCCAATTTGATTCTTCGCAAAAGTTTTGTGCGGTTTTCATATTTATTTGTTCGTTCACTTTGTCAATTCTCTGTTAATTTTCCTATCGAAGCATTTGCGTTTTGGTCTTGCAAATTTGTCACAGTTCAGTAACGCAACAAGCGCTCTAAAAATCCTTCAGAAGTTCAAAAGAATGTTAAGAACGGGCAAATCCGAGCAAAATCAGCGCTAGCAGCGTGAAGCAGCTGAAAGAAGCTCACCAAAAGTGAGCTTCATATCGCGTAGCAGCGAGGAGCAGCTACGAGCAGCAAGCAGCAGCGCAGAGCAGCGCAGCATCGCCAGCTATAGCGGGTCTGTATTCGCGTTCGCTGCAGCAGCCAGAAGCAGCAGCGTTGCATGGCGTCAATCGATACGCATAAAAGGCGTTGCTGCTGGCAGCGTCTTATCGTCAGCTATAGCGACCCATCGTCAAGTATATCTCAAGCCTTAGAAAGTGGTGACGGAGCATTGATCGGTAATCAGCTTAGGAAACGATCAGGGAGCACGCTCGCGAAAGAGTTGCAGAGCCCAGAGCACACCCATCACCCGCCATTCTCAATGATCCAAAATTATATTGAAAGCAGAACACACCCCGTACTTTGCAAACGAGAGGCGGATCCCCTTGTCGCAGTTCCACTTTCATGCAAGTGGAACTAAAATTGCAAACCGTTTTCTGACAGAAATTGTTTTTTCAAAGAGCTTTTGTCTCCTTAGAGAATGTACGAGTATGTGGTACTCTTGCATCCAGATTGTGGTGTGGTGTTTGATGCAATCTGTCAAAAAATGTGCGAACTTACATGTATCATTCGATTGATAGAGCGAGAAGTAATGTGTGGAGAATACACGTGCAGCCCAGACGCTTTCAAATTGCATATTTGTTTATCGGAGAGATCTGCGCTAAAGTCCGTAGTGTCGAGATATTGAGCCGTGCGGATCTTAATGAGCAATTTGACGACTGTTTAACGTTGCTTCAACTTACCGCTTCATGATCGAATACATCGCTACTTATTGTTGTAAGTATACCGTTCTTGAAGGCGTAGGTGATGATGATAGAAGAAAAACTTGGTAAAAAAGGTACAAGCGAGGAAATCAGTTGATTGTCGCCAATGCAAAGTGTAAAGCGTTTTGCGTGCAAAGTCAGACCATTCAGTTGTCCGTGCAGCATGCAATAAAGTCCTGATGACATCACAAGCTGTAACGGTACCTTGTAGGTTTAACATGGAAAGCGTATTTATCGAAGTAGCCTATTTATGATTTTTATACCATTTCCTAGAGCATTGCATGCTGACCCCAAACCGCGATTCTGCCACACTTTTCCAGTTCCCTGAGCCCATTGTGTTTTCGTAACCCATACACAGTTACCTTCCTCACCTTTATTGCACCTAGTTTGAAGTTTTTAGAAGTCGATAAAATTAACAAACTCAGTGGTTTGCCACTAGATTCGAATAATGCCAAGATCAAAGTGCTTAAGTATCCCATTGTACCAAAGTTTCAGTGACCACGTTCATAGTGCGAAATGATGAAAGCGTTAAAAACTTGTTGTACCAGACCTTCAAGTTCAACAGCCAAAAACGATCGATAACAATAGGTAGAACACCTCACGCTCTAAAGTGTTTGTGTGCAAATTTTGGTGCTGATCTTTTCGTATATACGTTGTACTTTTGATTTGAAGATATGTGCAAACAAACGGCAGACACACATGCAAGACGTGAGCTTTTTAACGCAATGACAATCACGCAAATATCACTTGTCTAGTTTTGGGAACCAGACCTTTCATGAACCAGTCAACATTATTTATTTAATCACACATCATGCCATCTAAAGTAAACCTACGCTTTAAGTGGCTGGAAGAAAGATGGAGGTATTTCTAAATCCAAAAAGCTTTGCGAATGAGTTCCTTTCAAGAAAGTCGTCATTTTAACGAAATTCAAGTTTGGCAAAAGTCCCTATGCGTGTGTCAAGCAGTCTCATGCGGTAGACACTGCTTGACACACCATCCGCGAACGATATTGACTTTATTGGAGGTCTCATTGATTTCTTCACAGTTTTCTGTGAAAAGATCACATGTTGCTTTGACTGATTTATTTGACGATGGGATATGGATGGATTACGGCAAGGAGTTGTCCGACCAGGGCTCGGCACGAGGTGGCTGGTTGAAAATGCAAAAAACCAAGTTCCCCTTCCTTTTGCGAATTTTTACGAAGTCCCCTTTGACCTTAGACCAGGGCTCGGCGCGAGGTGGCTTCCCGAAATTGCAAAAAAAATGAAGTCCCCTCTGACTTCAATGAAATTACGACATCCGCCACGACATATTTGAAGAGAAATTACATGTAAAGGAACGGAACAAAGCAACAGCAGAAAAAAACGAAAAAGAACTAACGAACACAAGCAATGATACCCATATTCTCCGGATTGGCGGCATAATGTACCCATCGTGCAGCAATACGCGCTTAGAGCAGCCTTTCCGCCGCCATTCAAAATATTCAAGGGGCTATAACTAAGCGAGGAGAAGGGGGTTTGAGGCGGTTTAGAACCAATTTGCAGGGTTTGGGATGTACAGTCGAGTAGATTTTCCGCTTAATAAGTGTGCTTGCACTGGAGGTGAAATGCGGTAAAATTTGCGCGTGAACAAGTAATCACGCCAGTAATGCCAGCCTTTTGCGCGCGCAATTGGCCGGCGTCCCAGCTATTTGTTCACGCGCAAATTTTACCGCATTTCACCTTCAGTGCAAGCACACTATATTAGGCGGAAAATCCACTCGACTATAGATAAAAAGTATGTAAAGAAAGTAGGAAAATCATGTGAGGGAAGAAAAATTTATGATTTTTTCTTTCTTAAGCCACCTCAGGTGGCTATCCAGGTGGCTTGAAAGCCACCTAACTCCGAAAAAAGTTGAGCCCGCCTTTGGTTCACATATTTTTTTCATAATTTTTCATACTTAGTCCTAACTCCCCATTGCCCATCTACACACCTATTTTGGTGTCATTTCATCTCCACTTCGCTGTAAACAAAACCCTTTGTTTATTTGCTGGCGGCATACGGGTAGCGTGCCGGCTGCAGATCGAAAGACAACGTTATGCTCTTCCGCAAAAACGATATCCCCTTTGCTTTTTTCCCAAAAACGATATCCAGATTGCTTGGTAGGCCACCTGTGCGTGCCCTGTGTCCGACCATTATCTTAGCTTTGATGAAACCTGGCGAGTTCTTAGTTATAGCAAGAATGCATATTTCTAGCAATCATGTCGTCGCGACTTTTGGTCTTCTCCACCCTTTCTTTCTCCTTGCAAGTCGCTTATGATTATCAGGTTGTTGTGGTCCAGGACATTCACACCGCTACAAGCTGAATTGCTCTCAAAAGTCTTTGTGCACTCTCCTCACCAAATCTCGTTATTGACAGAGTCAAGACTGGCATGCTCTTGAACAATTAAGAATGTAAGATAGACACTACGTCGAAACTTAACTTATGCGGACATCTCACCAAGTCTTTGTTCCGTCGCAAAGGGCATAGTAGGCAGCTCAAAGAATATCCAACGATGATCGCCTCGATGCGTACATTCACCATAACGGGCATGTTCATGCGCTTTCAGATGGTCTCCATCTATAGGGAATGCTATAGCGCTTCGGGATTCCATGCTCTGATTTGTCCCGTGAACCTCGTCTCCTTTTTCATCATTCTTTTCCTTTGACCTTATTTTTCGCGTTTAAGAGCTTTTGGGATCAGTCGATGCAGCAACTTGTCCTCTTTCTAATGGTTGTAATTTCATTGCATAATATTCGATAAACTCTCAAAAAATTATCGAAGCCGCGGCTCATGCTTTTTGTCACGGTCAAGTTCGGCTATTTTTCTATATTTTTGTACCGATTCCCAAAGATGTACAAGTAACATTTAAACAGAGCAAACCCTATAGGACACAAAACAATTTTTTTCTTTTCCTTAGCTTGCTTTTTAGAGTTTGTAGAATCAATTTGTCAGTGTCACCAAATTCCATATTTGGTCGACTCAAACCTCACAAAACAACAACCAGCAAGCAACTCGGGTGTCATTCGACGCAGCTTTTGCTCCCCTTTATAACACGTTTTTCTTTTCCGATTTATATAGTTTTGCGGGATAAAATCATCATACTTCAGGTTTTCCAGGGCTCCCAGGTATTACCCGAAATTTCCGAAAGTTGCTAATCTGAAGCGGTAAACGCTCATTTGCTTTGTAAAATTGGTGTCAACCCATAATCCACCTTTGTAATTTTCGAAATCCGAAAATTTATTGGTGTTTGATGCTTTGTGTCTGACAAGCTTGCTGAAATTGTGTGATCTCATTGAAAAATTTCTATAAAAATTATGGCGAGCTGTGAAAAAAAGAAAAAAATCGTACTGTTTCCTATAGGGTTTGCTCAATCCACCTGTTACATGGACTCCTTCGGAGGATTGTTGTAAGAATTTACAAAAATTGGGAAGCTTGACCTTCTCAAAAAGATGGGACGCAGATTTTGATAATTTGGAGCTTATCAAATATTGTGCAATGCTCATACAAAAATTAGAAAGAGAATGAAATGCTGCATCAAATGCTACCAAGACTCTTAGAAAGCTTGCTTCCACGAAATGTAGCCAGTTGAAAAATGCGACATTACTCTCGGAACGACCTAATACTGTCCCAAAAAATTTTAACACTATATGATCGTCAATAACTTTGTTGCTTTCATGTCTTTCGCCGAGTTTGAGGTACCATTCTTCAGAGTGAGGTTCAACTTAGATTTGTGGTATGGAGCGAATCATCGATTGCTCATCATTACTGTAGGATTATGGTATTCTTAAGTGCCATCTGACAAAATTTTTTTTTTAAAAATCTGAAAAAGCGTTAAGTTTTCGTTCATGCTAATTCCTCTACACAACTTTTTACGAGTGCTTTTAGCTTTTTTGACGGTGTAATCACATTTCTGACAAGTGCTGAAGATTTAGTTATTACGGTTTACCTGGGATAACTTGGAAAGAAGCATCAGAGTAAAGTGGGAATTTCATATTTGAAATCAGCGGCTTCCATTATCATAGTAAAAGAGTTTTTGGCTTGTTTAATTCTGTTCCGAGGCAGAATACGGCCTCCAATCAAAATCTTTGTCGCAGTTCCTACCGTAATTTTACAGTAACGAAGAGTGATCGATGATTCGCTCCATACTGTAAATCTAAGCTGAATCTCGCTTTATAGAATGGTGCCTCAGGCGACGTGAAAGCAAGGGAGTTATCAGCGATCAACAGTGTCAACATTTTTTGGAAACCATGTATATTGCTCACTCGAAAGCATGATTATGCGTTGAGTCATGCTCCAAAAAAAATTGATAGCAGTTCGGGTTTACCGTGACACTTTGCAAAAAGCGGGCAATTGAAAAAAATTGAAGCACTTACACTCACATCTTCTATCTCTACGTCTTGAACATCGAAGAGTTTCGTGTAGTGAAAAAGCACTTGCATGCCCACTGAGTCGGCATCGTGTTCGCAATAAATGCGTCTATCCTTTTTATGGATTATCACGCTTCCTCCAGCACTCCTCTGAAGAATCTTCACCTCATACCAACTATAACACCAATCATAAGATTCCTCTCCATGTTTAGCCCATGCAATACTCAGGACGAGGCACTAAATAAAATTGTTCATTGAATATATCCACATACCAGTGGCGGTCCCAGGATTTCCGTCCCGGGGGGGGGGGGGGGGGAGATTATTTCAGTGGAGGTGCGTGGCGTCAGCCATGCACTCCAAAAAATTCCAGGGGTGTTTCACAAAATTTCGGGTCCCCAATCCCTAAAATTTGGAAAAAGGGAGCGTAGCGCCAGCCACGCCCTCAAAACAAATTTTTCTGTGAAGATAATTTGTATTTTCAAAAAATTTCAAAAATTATTTCAATTATAAGAATAAATAAGTTTTTGCACATTTTTATAACCTACGCAAGAAAATTTCAAAAATTTCGCGACCCATTCTCGGGGGGGGGGATACCTCCCCCCCCCACCCCGCTCTACCCTCGGTCCGCCACTGCCACATAACACTGCCACATAAATAAAATTCACCTGGTTTTTTTTCTCGTAATGTACTTTGAACACGAACACCGTAATTTTTGCTTGTGAAGCCAAAAAATAACTCTCTCTGCTCAGAAGCATGAAACGCATGAGAGAATGGAATGGCAAATAACGCAAAACTGCTACTTTCATTTCCGCCGGAAGATCGTGCCATTGACACATGTGCTCACCAGACATTCATGCAAACTGAAGTGAAGAGAAAGATAATAAGACATATGAACTGAAACTCGCAATACCCAGTCACAAAGTTGAGGTGATCGTTTAAACAATGTAAATTCGGTCAGCTGATATCATCTATAAAGTCGGTCAAAAGTTCGTGCCGTAAGTCGGTCAAAAGTCCGTGCCCTTCGAACCTATGCTCAAGTCACCTAGAATAAAAATAACCAAACGCTGTGAGCGGTAATCTGCAGAATTTCTTCCTCTTTAAGCAGTAATGTTTTTATCCTAAGTCGTCCAATGGTCGCTCAAGTAATCGGAATCTTCACCCAACGGTTTCCACCTACATTCATTTCAATATTTTTATGAATTCTCTTTTCAACTTTCAAAAGAGCTCTGATAAAATTCGGATAGAATAGACAAAGTGCAATACAGTGCAATTTTTTTTGGCATCTATAGCTGGCTTCCCAAAATTTTTTAAATTGGTCTTCAATGGGACCAATCTCTACACTTTGACATCCAAAACCTCATAACATAGTAAGTGAGGAGCATCTAAGGCGTTACTGGATGCAACTTTTTTCCCTTTTTTGACAAATGTTTTTTCTTCTCTGTGAAGTCTGCGGAAAGAAAATCGCCACAATTATTGTTTTCAAACGCGTTCCAATTTGTACCCGGAGAAATCGAGATTCAATATTCCAAAGCGATAAACGCTCAGGTTGTCTTGTAGAATCACCCTTTATCTCATGATCAATCTTTGAAAGTTTTGAGTTTCGGAGATTTATCAGTGTTTGAAACGTTTTACGACATTTTACGACATCGTACTAACAAGGACATTTGAAGAAATCATCTTGAAAAAGCCGAATAGATAATTGAGGGAGCTAAAAACTACTCATATTGCATTGTGCTTAATCTATTCAACTGTTATCAAAGCTTTCCCAAAGTTCGAAATGAAAATTTTCGCAATTAGTCAAAGTTAGGGCAAGCGAAAACCATGGGTTAGATTCGATGGTTACTCGAGCGAGCATCGAAGTACTCGGAACAAAAACGCAGTGTTAAAAAGAGGAGGAATTCCGTCGAACACCATTTATAGCGTAGTCTATCCTTATTCGGATGCTTTGAACATAGGTTGAAGAACGACACTTTCGGGCCGACTTACTATATATGATCCGTCTGACAGGTGAAACTATGTGAACTGAAATAATTTCTGAATTCCTTATCAGGCTATTGAAGACAATCTTCTACACATCAAGGAGACATAGATGACATGTACTCAATTTTGGTTGCTGAAGAAAATCTTTTCAAAGTTTTTTCAAGCATCGGTACGCAAAACCGCAAGACTGCATGAAGGTTCCCGAACAAATCAATGAAATGTCTTTACAACACGCGTCCAGAAAAGAGAACCTGACTGACATTCATACGTGCAGAGCAACGTTTGAAAGAGCGAAATGTCAGAAAACAAAATTGCAACACCTAATTCCGTAGAAGGACCGTACTATCAAGCATACTTGTGAATTACTCACGCAAACTAAAACCAAATAATCCAAAATCGACTAGCAGACTAGAATACAAAGTTGACATACCAACTCGAGTCACGTAGGTTGATGTCGGAATAGCATCCGAAAGAGAATGTCGGAAAACTTTCTTTCATGTAGCACCGACATTTCACAATACCGCAATCATTCTCATAAAAATCGTAAGCGATGACTCATGCATCTTTGACTTTCGAATTGCCTTGGCTTTTTAACTAAATGATCGAGTCAGAAATTGTGCATTTTGTAACTGCGCAAACCATTAGTACGCATCTTAAGGACGGCTCATAAACGCTGAAATCGCAAAAACAAATTTCCGCAAGCGCCTTAGGCAAATACGCCCCAGCAATCAATAAAGTAAATTTTTGGCCGTATTCATCGAAGAACCCAGTGGGTTTAAGCTACCAGATTAAAGCTAGTCGATTTGCGAACCCAGCGATTGCATCGATCCAATGCTGTGGCACTGTTTTCGCTTAACCCATTCGTAGCGGAACCCACTGGGTTAGTTTATTAGTACGGCCAATGATGTCATTCATGTGGTTGTAAAAAAAAAGTCTACGGTCCTTTATGACATCGTCATGAATTAGTCGCACAATCAACATTACGTAGAAAACTAGAAAAGAATACAAAAAAAAGTTAAAATGACAATTTAAAAGTCTTATAATGTTTGTATTTCTGCAATGACGGCAAGCCATGTCCGGCGAGCAGAATCGCGCCCTTGGAGCAAGTTGCCGCGGCCATAAAATTTTTGCAGAGCGTGGCTACAAGGGGGAGGGTCTTTGGAGAGGTTCAGCAATTGAATTGAACTTAACTTCCGAAAATTATTAGGTTGAATAATAAACAATTTCGTGCTCACTGCAATTTCGAAACTCTGTAACAATTGAAAGAACGCTATATAACTGAAATGTTTAGTAGAGGTGGCTTCAGTCTTTCCCCTCGCATACCAGATATTAGCTGGCTTACCCGGCTCCGCCCGGCCCTGCCAAAAACGATAAAGGTTTCATCCCTATCCCTGTACGACCTTTCCCTGTGCCCACTTCTACATGCAATTCCCTATTCCCGCTGTGTTAGTAATCAATACGCTCACCTACCTTCCTCACCAACCTCCCAGCCTCGTAGCTCAAACTTTGCAAAAAAACAATAGAATCGATAAAAGTAAGGGTAGTTCTAAAAAATGATGGCGCTATTCGTTATCCGGGCCTTAAAATGTTTTTGTGGTGGGTCTTACTCAAATTCCTCGAACTCGGTATATGGGGGTTATTCAAGCCGCTGATGACGAATATCGTAGTCATTTCGCGTGGCAGCGGGTAAAAATCATGAACCTGCCTGAAACCTTGGCAGAGAATTACCTAAAGTGCTGTGCAGCATGTCGAAGAAGTTCTCTGGATCGAATTCCAGCCGAATTCATGATTTTGACTTCCTAACGCACACTTATCGTAATCACCCGGGGAGACGTTCTACGGAGAAAGTGTGATATCTGTAATCAGCATGTAAGATAAGCTTTAGACCGAAGTTTGAGCAAGCTCTACGACAAAAAAATTTGGGACCCGCATAGTAGCGCCAAACCAATACTGTACTCGTAATCAGCATGCCTAATTACCCCCCTGTGCAAACTCCCAGCCTCGCAGGTCAAACTCAAACTTTGCAAAAAAATCGATAAAATCGATAAAAGTAATCGATATTCCTGAAAACTAATATTGTATTCGGAATCCCACTTACTGCCCACTTACCCCCTGTGCCATCTCCCAGCCCCGCAGGTAAACTCTACAAAAAATCGGTAAAATCGATATTGATCGATGACGAAAAGTAGCCCATGACACCCGCCCGGCCCCGAAGTGTATGTGTGCCGTTTGGTCCGGGTCGGTTCAGAAATGGAATTTTCTATTCGGAACATACGTACAGATCGACAGACAGACATACAGACATACAGACAAACTGACATTCAGCTTTATATATAAGATTCTCACAAACAGCTACTACATTCGTAACAAGGATGCTCAGTTATCCCCCTGTGCAAACTCCCGGCCCCGCAGGTCAACATTTACAAAAAAATTCGATAAAATCCATAAAAGTAATAGACGATTTTGAAAACTAATACTGCATTCGTAATCAGCATGCTCGATTACAGCCCTGTGCAAATCCCAGCCCCGCATGCCAAAATTTACAAAAAATCGATAAAATCCATAAAAGTAATAGACGTTTTTGAAAACTAATATTGTATTCGTACCCTATTTTCAGGTGTATAAGCCGCACGCTTTTCGCTCTAAAGGCGAACACGCCAAAAGACTGACTCTCATCAAGGAGCGCGTTAAGTAAGAGCAGTATGCGATAGGGCGACCGCTTCGCGAGACATATGCGCGGCGGCACGCCTGAGTCTGCTCGCGTTTAGAGCAAAAAGGGTGCGGCTTATACATCTGAAAATAGGGTAACCCCCATACTCATACCCCCTGTGCCAACTCCCAGCCCCGTAGGTAAACTCTACAAAAAATCGGTAAGATCGATATATCGATGACGAAAATTAGCCTATGACACCCGCCCCGCCCCTAAGTGTATGTGTGCCAAGTTTGGTCCGAATCGGTTCAGAAATGGAATTTTCTATTCGGAACATACGTACAGATAGACAGACAGACATACGGACAGACAGACAGACACTCAGCTTTATATATAAGATCAGAATTTTCTGTCATTGTTAGATGACAAATACACCTTTATATGGCTAGCCTACTGAAAAAATCAATATTTTCTATCTTTCGTTTGTGTATGAACAACCTTTAGCAACATGGCGAACCACAGTAGAAATAATGATCTGCTGTGAATGAATTTCTGCAGCCAAACATGTGAAAATTCAACTCAGATATTCGCGGTTAAGTCCTGCCGGTAAAAAAGTTGTGTCCCGAGGGAATGACTGCTGGACACAGGTAAAATGATTCGCGAGAGAACCGGGACTCCTCCAATTCATTCGGGATAATGCTGCGTGACACGCCAGTTGTCCCAAAATGTTTTCTACCAAGAAAACCGGGAGCTCTTGCTGGAGACCTGATAATGCCGCAATCCGATCACCGGCGGAACTCCCGCTCTGGGATCATACACCAAAATCTATGGGAGGCCACAGCCATCCTATCGAAGGTTGCCCGTTAGACAACATATTGACCCAGTTCTTGCTTGAAAGATTGGAAACACATCCAAAGTTGTGGATATTGAGGGTAGTCTGACCATGCGTCGTATTCCACGCAAGTATCCTTTACGCTCGCACACTGGGAGCGGCCGACCCGCGTACCCCGAAATCTCTTCTCCAAAAAACCACCGGCTCCATTTTCTGGTCTCGGGATAATGCAAAAGTTGGGAAAATTCCGGATGTCGCGCAAAGCTACCGATTTTCTTGCGAATTCTCATTTTGTGGGCGAATTTCCTGGGACTTAACCACGAATGTCTGAGAAGGTATAGGGACCTGCAGAATCGCGAGAGTCGGCGTGCGTATGGCCATTGCGCCAAAATTCTCGATGCAAGAATCAGGAATCCATAATGGGAACCTAAGATGCATGTTATAGACGTTTCTTGCCCTACTGCTCCCCACGGATACTGTAACGCCGCATCGCGGCCGTTTTCAGTTGCCACCCACAAGTAACAGCCCCACCCCCCTTTTGTAGGAAGCGAACTTCGCAGGCGATCCTGATAACATTATGCAGCATCTCACCCACAATCCGTCGAGCGGCGATTTGAAGAAGTTAGACAAACTTCCAACGCCATCCAGATTTGTGCTGCCATACCACAAAGTCCTTGACATATAGTATATCAATCGAAAGAGCTTTCCAAGCTATTTCCAATATCGCTTAAATGTGCTAATATTCTCCATTATTTCGTACTAAAGATGCCTTTATTCGAAGGAGTGCAGATTTCCAGGTCAGAAATCATGCTTTGAGCCACAATTTTTCAAAACGGGAAAAGTGGAGGTGAATTACATTTGAGTGGATAGAGCGTAAAAAGCACTATTGAATGACAACCGTCAAGTATGAGCTTATTTGATTATTTTGGTGAGAGAACAAATAGTATGCTCCCTAATACCCCATGCTATATCTTCTGTTTTAAAGCGTTGAACCATCAGATTATCGTGGATTTGGTAACAGCCCCCACCCACTGCTGCGCAGATATTTTAGTAGGCTCACTTGTTATTGCGGCGGTGCTGCTCAGAGTTCAAAGCCACTTAAGTGATGAACTTTGATTTTAAAGGCGTCAGCTCCCCAAAACCGAACATCCCGAAATTTTGGCATGAAAGGTAGCTTGCATCCCAAACATGAGAACAGCGCAGGTCCGAGCGCACGGCAAGCTGCCCTTGCCTAGAAAAGTCCGTTACGCGCAAGCCATTCTAATACGCGCGGACGAGCTTGCGATTCTCCCTGACCGTTAGAGAAGGCATGCCGCAATGTTATAACTGCGAGGGTCCCGGAACGATTCTGCCACTCTAACCATGGTGGGACGTGCTCCACTCGTCGAATTTAAAATGGGATGCCGCTGGAAAAGGTAGTTTTTGCCATTTTTGCGCTCTTCAAGATGGATCTTTGGAAACAACGCTTCAAATTACCCCAGGCAAGCAAAAAAACTTCATGTTGAGAATCTGCCGAGCCTGCCTATAAGCGCTTATAAAAACAACGCCAGTGACAGTGCCCACCGACCTGGACCAGAAGCTGTTCTGCACTAACATGCTGGGACTTTCAACTAGACTTTCAGTAACCTCCAACGACTTCCGACGTTCAACTTTCAGCTGTTGCGCATTACGACAATTAGTATAGGCTGTATCAATCAGCATCGGTTATGCGACGTCGCGCATGCGGCAACTAGCGACATGCGGCATGACGCGCGCGGACTCTGCTACGCGTTAAGGCACGTCGCATGTGACATTGCTCATCGCAATGCACACTAGCGCGGGACCCATGCTCTTTGGTACAGCCTGTAAGTAGTCGGGCTCTCGCATCTTTCGCCGTTTTACTGTTTCTAATCAACTATTAGCATCTTCGTGATGATGACGTCTTCTAGTCCATACAGGATTAGAATGTTAAACAATTGACGGTGCTTTTCCGTTATCCGGACATTTTTTCAAAAACCTCTCATATTATACGTC